GACATGTGCGCGGCCCAGCGGGGGGGCCAGGGACGTGATGAAATGAGAAGAGGCGCCATGAAATCAGAGGAAATATCATGGCCCCCGCCATGATATCAAACCCCCCTAGTCATCACCCCCCTTTTTTCCGCCCCCGAAGTCCGTGCCCCCGTTCTCGTTGACGCAGGTCACCGGGACCTCGACCAGGTACACCTGCTGGGGGACGAGGATCGGCAGGTGGAAGCAGGGTCTGGGCACCCGGTACAGGTTCTGGTTGGTGGTGCACATCAGCGCCACGTCGAGGACGGCGTGGACGCCCGCGTTCTGCGCCCGCACCACGACCTTGAACTCCGGGCCCATGCCCGCGACCTGCGCGTTGAGCCTCACCTTGGGGGGCGGAAAGATACGGATACGTGTTGTCCCCGGACCTCTCTTGGGGTGCGTTCTGACCAGAATTTCGAGGCGAATCCAGCGGTGACAACGAGGATTCCCCAGGAGGACCAGGAACAGCCGAAAACGAAGGGGGACGGCACGTATCCGTATCTTGTTCTCCCCCGATCACCTGGTACCCGCCGCCGGAGGCCATCGGCCCGTGGCCCGCGCCCAGCAGGTTGACGTACGCGCGCGCGGTGGAGAGCCGCAGCTTGCACAGGTCGCGCTGGAAGGTGCGGTGCATGTCCACGGCCTGCTCGCGCTCCCGGGTGGTCTGCTCCACGTACAGCCTGGTCTTCTTGGGCACGTCCAGCGGGATGTCCTGCTCGGGCGGCGGCCCGGGGGGGGCCCCGCTCGCCTCGAGGTTGGCGCTGCGCGTCAGGATCTTGACCATGAGCGCCCCGCTCTTGAAGCTGAGGACCATGGAGCCCTCCTCGCGCCCAAAGGTGCCCAGCCTCATCCCCGTCACCACGTCGTTCGTCTGCGTGGTGGAGACGAGCTGCTTGCCGTTGTACAGCCGGACCTCGCCGTTGTTCAGTGCCACGGCCACCACCTTGGCGGTCCGCATCTTCGTGATGGAGAGGAGGCTCATGCACGAGATGGGAGCGGGGAGGTAGATGCTGTGGCTCTTCTTGCCCTTGAAGTGGAAGCAGTGGATCACGTTGTCCATGCAACCGATGTAGACGCTCTTGTCGTGACGGACAAGACCCACCGGCTGCGACTCGAGCTCGATCACGTTGCTCAACACCGTGCCATTCTTGATGGTGTAAACGTTGCCATTGCGGCAAGCGACCGTGATCCTGTACTCCACGTCGTACAGCCCGAGCACGGACATGAAGGTGGGGACCGAGTCGAGCTCCACCTTCGTCAGTACGTTCAGAGCGCTGCTGTCCAGGATGTGGACCATCCTGTTCTCCGTGCCTAGCACGAGCATGCTCACAGCAGTTGCATCCTCCATGTTGAATTTGAGCACCTCCATGCAGGTGATGGAGGTGTGCTGCTCCAGGAGGCCGCTGTCCTTGCCGTGGCTGCCCACGGACTGCTTGGACTCCTTGAGTTTTCTAACGAACTCGACCTGCTGCTCTGGCTCCTCGACCGCCAGGAAGTCGATGGAGTGATTGGTGAGGCTGGTGCCGTTCTCGCGGAGCGCGTTCAGCCTGTCGTAGGCCGTCCGCACGTCGCTGCCGTCCACCCGGAGCTCCTCCCACACCTCGGCCTCGGCCGCGCTGACCTCCACCGGCGGCAGGGTGAACTTGAGATAAGGCCGCATGTATCTGTAGATGAACACCTGGTGTTATGTTGCTCCCACCGTGCTGAAGGACCACATCCCAGAAACCACTTCGAGCACCCAGAAAAAGTGCCGAAAGAGCGTCGAAGCACTGCCCAAACAGCGTCGGACGAGTGTCTCCCAGGGCCCGACGCGTGAGAACCCTCGAGTCTCGGTGCCTTTTCTGGTGCTCGAAACTCCTTCTGGTGATCAAGGATAAGGTAGGTTAGAACATGTATGATGGGCCTGTTTTCCACCACCACCACAAGTTGGAAGGGGGAAGGAGGAGGACGAGGAGGAGGACGAAGACGAGGAGGAGGAGGAGGACGACGAAGAGGAGGAGGGCGAAGAGGAGGAGGAGGACGAAGAGAAGGAGGAGGAGGAGGAGGACGACGAAGAGGAGGAGGACCCCCTCCCCCTCCAACTTGTGGCGGTGGCGGTGGAAAACAGGCCCACCAGTGTATATCCGTAGATGAACACCTGGTGCCCGCTGGCGACCGCCAGCGTGGGGATGGGCGGCGACGCCACCTCGTGGTAGAAGCACTGCACAGCGCACGGCGCGTCCAGCAGCTTCTGCTCCCACTGGATGGTCGTGCCCTTGTAGATGCGTATCCTTCGGCGCCGAGGGGGGCCGCGTCCCGGGGACGCCGGGGCCCTGGACCCCAGGAGGGGCTCCCCGGCTCCCCTTCCTCCCCCTCCTCCTCCTCCTCCTCCTCCTCCTCCTCCTCCTCCTCCTCCTCCTCCTCCTCCTCCTCCTCCCACTGGATGGTCGGGCCCTTGCAGATGCGCAATCTCCGGTGGCAGCTCGTGGGAGCCTCCCATACCATCTTGTCGGCTCTTGCGAATCGACGCTGATCGACGCCAAATCGACGCTGACCCACGAGAATCGAGGCGAAATCGGCGCTACCTCATCGACTCCAGACGCCAATCGACGCGAATCGACGCGAGAGGCGGAATTAAGAGGGTATACCAGGCTCCCATGATTTGCCACCGAGCGTATCCTCCTCCTCCTCCTCCTCCTCCGCCGCCTCCATAACTACTCCACCAAATCCTCCTCCTCCGTCTCCCCCCCTCTCCTCATCCTCGGCTCCGATCTCCTCTCCCCTCCTCTCCTCCTCCCCTCCTCCTCCTACTCCTCGGCCTCCTCCGTCTCATCCTCCTCCTCCTCCTTCTTCTCTCCTCCTCCTCCCTACTCCCTCGCCTCCTCCTCCTCCTCCTCCTCATCTCCTCCCCCTCCTCCTCATCCCTCTTCCTATTCCTCCCTCCTCCTCCTACTCCTCCTCCGCCCTCCTCCTCCTCCTTTTTCCTCCTCCTCCGCCTCCTCCTCGTCCTTATCCTTATCCTCATCCTCTCCTCCGCTCCTCCCCACCCTCCTCCTCATCATACTCATCTGCCTTCCTCCTCGTCTTTTTCCTCCTTTTCCTCCTCCTCCTCCTCCTCCTCCTCCTCCTCCTTTGCCTCTTCCTCATCCTCCTCCTCATCATCATCATATCAGGGAGGCGACTCTACTCCCAAAGGCTCTTCAGAAAATCAGCCAGCAAACTGAACGAATACTCGGACCCCTCAAGAAGGGTCCGGAAAAAAAACAAGCAAGCAAACCACACATCGAATGTCAACTCTTTCAAACTGACAAGCAAGCAAAGAATCTCTGATCCCCTAACCCCCCTTGGTGAAAAAAAACGAAGCAGCAGATGAACCCACAAACTTTCTGAAACACGCATGCAAGCATTGAGATGACTTTATTCACAAATATGTTTCGGATACCCGCTTCGGAAATTACGCATTAATTTTGCATCTTGCACAACGCAATACAAAAGATTTCAACGATTTTTTCGGAATTCCGAAACTTCGGCACAACATAAAACAACTAAGGTTGAAGTCATATCTACATCTGTTTCGGGGCGTTCGTTGCGAAAGTGATGCATTCATTGTTGAATTCTAGAAAATGCATACACAGAAAACTTCATGAAACTTGTTTCCGAATTTTCAGCCCGACTTCATTCTTAATATTTTTCGAACACCCGCTGCGCAAATGACGCATTTATTTTGCATTCCCGGACAGCGCGGCCACAGAAGACTTCAACGAGCATGTTTTCAGAAATTCCAAACTTCGGGAACGAAATGAATCGCTGAAGTCGAAACGCCCGCTGCGAAAATTATGTATTTATTTTCGTGGACAGCACGGCCAAACAAATATCAACAAGCATTAAAAAGATGAGTTCTCGCGCGCTCACGCTGACAACCTGAATTTGGGCCCCCGCGGACTCAGGCGCCAGAATGGCCACACGGAGCGAGGGCCCCGACACGCGCTCACGCTGACAACCTGAATGCGGGCCCCCGTGGGCTCAGGGGCCGCGAGCACCCCGACGCGCACTCGCGCTGACAGCCTGAATCCGGCCCCCACGGGCTCAGGCGCCAGGAGGGCCACGCAGAGCGAGGACTCGACGCGCACTCGCGCTGACAACCTGAATTCGGGCCCCCGCGGGCTCAAACGCCAGGGGTGTCACGCGGAGCGAGGGCCCCGACACGCACTCACGCTGACAACCTGAATTTGGGCCCCCGCGGGCTCAGGCGCCAGGAGCGCCACGCGGCGCGAGGGCCCGGATACGCACTCACGCTGACAACCTGAATTCGGGCCCCCGCGGGCTCAACCGCCAGAAGCGCCACGCGGAGCGAGGGCCCCGACACGCACTCGCGCTGACAACCTGAATTCGAGCCCCCGCGGGCTCCGGCGCCAGCAGCGCCTCGCGGAGCGAGGGCCCGGACACGCACTCACGCTGACAACCGCAATTCGGGCCCCCGCGGACTCAGGCGCCAGGGGCGCCGCGCGGAGGAGCGAGGACCCCGACACGCACTCACGCTGACAGCGTAAATTCAAGCCCCCGCGGGCTCGGGCGCCAGGAGGGCCACGCGGAGCGAGGATCCCGACACGCACTCACGCTGACAACCTGAATTTGGGCTCCGCGGGCCCAGGCGCCAGGAGCGCCACGCGGAGCGAGGACCCCGACACACACTCGCGCTGACAACCTGAATTTCGGCCCCCGCGGATTCTGGCGCCAGGGGCGCCGCGCGGAGCGAGGGCCCCGACGCGCACTCACGCTGACAGCCTGACTTCGGGCTCCCGCGGGTTCAGGCGCCAGGGGGGCACGCGGAGCGAGGGATGCGGTCACGGTGATCATGGTCGTGGTTGGGGTTTGGTGACACTCCTTCCTGTGATGGTCGTGCTGGTGGTCGTGGTGGCGGTCGTCGTGGCGGTGGTGATCGCGGTTTCGTGAAAATTGTGCTGATCGTGGTGATGGTGGTGATTGTTGTGGTAGGCGTGGTGGTGGTGGTGGTCGCGGTGATGGTCGCGGTGGTGGTTGTGGTCGCGGCGGTGGTCGCGGTGGTGGTGGTGGTGTTGTGGTCGTGGTAATGGTGATACTCGTTAAACTTGTGCTGATCGTGGTCGCGTTGAGGTTGCGATGGTGCTCGTAAGTGTGTTGGTCGTGCTGGCGGTCGTGGTCGTGACGGTCGTCGTGGCGGTGGTAATCGCGGTAGTGCGTCATGATGGAATTCGTGAACCTTCTGCTGACTGTTGTGCTGGTTGAAGTGGTCGCGTTAATGATCGTGGTAGTTGTTCTGGTCGTGGTGGTGGTGGTGGTGGTGATGGCGCGGTGGTCGTGGTGGCGGTCGTGGTGGTATTCGTTAAGGTTGTGCTGATCGTGGTCATGGCGGGGGCGTGGTGGTGCTCGTTGCTGCGATGGTCGCGCTGGTCGTGGTGGTGGTGATCGCGGTGGTGCGTCATGATGGAATTCGTGAAAATTGTGCTGATCATGGTGGTGGCGGTGGTCGTGATGATTGTTGTGGTGGTCGCACTGGTCGCGGTGGTCGCGGTGATGGTTGTCGTGGTTGTTGTGGTCGTGGTGGTGGTGGTGGTGGAGTGGTGGTCGTGGTGGTGGTTGTGGTGGTTATGGTGGTCGTGGTGGCGGTCGTGGTGGTGGTTTGGGCGGTCGGTCTGGTGGTGATCGTGGAGGTTGTCATGGTGGTGATGGTGGTCGTGGTTGTCGTGGTGGCCGTCGTTGACCATCGCCAACATTACCATCACCATCGTTTTCCTCATCGCATGGAACATCGCTATCAACAACATATTCGTACGCTTCGCCATATTGATCGGACCCCTCTTCGTCGTCGTCGGCAGCATCATGCTCCGCGATCGTCGTCATCGCCGTTCATATCGCCATCATCAATTGCCGTCATGTTCACCGTCAATATCATCATAATCCCAATCGGCTTCTTCGACGTCTTGAGCACCGACGATATCGCCACCATCGGCACCATCTTCCTCATTTTGAACCAACCGTCGCAGCGGACACACTGCATCTGGAAGTTCAGCTTCCCAGGCTTGGCCGGATCCTGCTCGATCTTCTCGGCCTTGAGACTGGGGTGCGCGAACTCATCCCAGCGCCGCTGGACCCTGGAGCGACCCGGGCCTTCTGGTGCCTGAGGAGGTTCTGGGTCGCCCTCAGCTTCAGGGGCTGGAAGAAGCTCTGGGTCGCCCTCGGTTTCTGCCGGGCCTGGGCCGGGACCTGCTGGCTCGTCCGCCTCGTCGAGCGCATGGATAAGCGGCGCCGCCTCTTCGGCAGAGGGCGCGGCGCCCCCTTCGTCGCCCCCCATCTCAAGACTGCTGTCCTCCACCTGCTTCGCCTGCGCCAACTGCGCTCTCCTTGCGATCTCGTCGTCTTTCGCCTGCGCCCCCAGGTCAGCCTCGACGCGGTCGTCGCGCCGGCAGTGCATCTCGTGCTTGAGCCGGGCGTTTTCGGCGAGCGCTGCTTCCGCGGCGCGCTGGCGATCCTGGGCCCGCTCGCTGTCGAAGGCCGCCTGGGCCTGGAGCTGCTCCGCCGCGGCGAGGCGTTCCTGCCCCGCCCTCTCCGCGCGCCTCGCCTGCTCGCGCGCGTCAAGCTGCGCCTGCTCGGCCTTTGCGCGGTCCTTCTCGGCCTTGGCAGTCTCTTTGCGGGCTGCCTTGGCCCCGTCCCTGGCGGCCCCCACTGTCTGCTGGAGGGGCAGTGCCCGCTTGGCCTGCCAACTGGCGTCGTTCTTCTCCTTCTTCCACTGCTCGTCGACCCGTGCCTCGGCGCTGCGGAGCTGCTTTTCTTTTGCCACGGCCTTCTCTTTTTTTATGTTTGCGCTCCTTTTCTGCGGCCTCAGCCTTTGCCTTCGCCTCCTTCGCCCCCTTCGTGGCCAGCGCGGCAGCCGCTCGGCGCTTCGCGACCTGATAGGCGCAGAGCGCGCCCCGCCGAAAAAACACCCTAAACAGCAACTGCAACACGTTGCGCCGCGGGGCATGCACCGCGCAGACAACCGCGTCGCCCGCTGCCCCGGCGAGCGCGCCATGGGTTGCGCCAGGCACCCATGACACCGCACGCCCAACAGCATTCGCTGGAGGGGGAAGGGGCTGGTTTCACGCGCAAACGCATCGCGACCTTTCGCGGCGGCCCGCGCGGGCCGTCTACGCGGCGCGCCGCGTAGAAGGAGAGAGGAAGAGAGAGAGAGAGAGAGAGAGAGAGAGAGAGAGAGAGAGAGAGAAAAAAAGAAAGAAAGAAAGAAAGAAAGAAAGAAGAAAGAAAGAACGAAAGAAAAGAAAGAAAAGAAAGAAAGAGAAAGAAAGAAAGAAAGAAAGAGAAAAAAAAAAAACAAAAAAAAAAAAAAAACAAAAAAATGAGTTTGGCAACTTACGCGCGACCGTCCGCGTAGTCGACCCCGTTTCTAATGTCCCCCACCTGGTCTGCGACGCCAGCCCGCGCCGCCTCGGCATGCGAAAGGGCGCCCTTGTGCCGTGGCCGGAT